TTGTTGAGATCCAAGAAGGAATCTAAGGGAGAACCAAACCAAAAATGCCAGTTTTGGGCAGTGTTTCCACATTAGAGGACAAAAAAATCATTAAAGACAAAAAAACAACCTCAAAAATATTTCATTTCAATCAATTCAAATTAACTAAAAAAGCAGCTCCCAAGTAAATTGAAACCCTTGAAATACTGAGTACTATATAGATCCTCAGTAGCAGATTCACAATTTAAAGTTTAAATACAGTTTATTGGGTTCTGAATAAATAATTTGTATATATTAAATGATTTTTTTAATAATTACATGAATACAGCAACTGAATTCAACCCGTACTAAAACTCTAGCTCTGTCCGTGATATAGGTCAAGAACCAAAAAGAGAAAAGAATAGAAAAGAAAACAGTCTACTTAGAATGTAGGCATTGGTTGTGGCGGCTGTTAGATTCTAACCAAAAAATTGATTTAATAACTCAATATTCTGAGTATTAATGTCTGTATATTTTGTCCTTAAAAGAAGCAAAACCTAGAAACCCTTCGAGCCCTGGGTATGGAAAAATCCTTGGTAGGGAGCACTTTCCCTCCAATGGGGCCCTACGCGGCACGAATCCGGATATAGTCGGACTCTAATGCGGGTACTGGACACCGAGTGGGAAACCAAAAAAAAAACCTAGAAACCCTAGATTTCAGAAGCCAAGCTATACAAATTAAATTAAACCAGAACGCCCACAATTTGAGCTGCAACAAATTAAAATGTTTTCTTTTGGATTGTGACCTGATGAAGATGATGACTGTGACTTTGCCAGGAGGAAGAAGAAGACTGAAATGCAGCAGCCATATTTACAGTCCACATATTTGTGCAGTGTCCACATCGAACTGTCACTATATCAAACAAGTTGCTGCATGGTACACTCACCTGCAATTATATATCAAACCCCATTAATATAATAACATCAAAAAGAAACCAAACAAAATATATATTTTTTTTTAAATTAGGAGTCATGTAAAACTCAGGGATTTCAGACTTTGATCTTGAAGATGTAGTCACAAGTGAGTGATGGTCTCAAGGAATGTGATATTATTATATTATATATTTTAAATTTTTCTTTGCATATAATGTATCCTGATTTCAGCAACAAATAATGAATTCAGTTGAACTCACAGAACCCTCTATGTTCGTCTTTTGAGCTTAGGGAGAAGGCCACTTAGGGTGGAAGGGAAAGGTCTAAATCTTGAGATCTCTTCTCAAAATTGCACCAACAAAAGAATGAGAGAAAGTTCATATATTCACCCAACTACAATTGGACTAAGCTTCCCCTTTGTCATTCTTCTTTAGCTAATGATGAAGCAAATCCCTAAAGTTAAAGTAGTCAATGAAGCATCCTTTTTTTTTCGGTTCAAGAAATTGCCATAAACTAGGTGGTGAGAATGAGAAAAAAAACATAAGTTACCTCGTTCGTGCTCATACGGCTCTTTTATGGAGTAAATATCTAGATCTAAGACGTGCACAAGATATTAAAAAGAGAATTCTACCTGTAACATCTATGTCAGTCATATTTTAAAACTTAATAAGATTATGAAAAAACCCTAAAGAAGGAACAATTTGGTGGTCTTAAAAGGGTGGAACTTCCAAGAAAATGGTCAAAAACTGAGAACTTAAAATCATTCGAATGAAACCATTAACAAAGAAAAGTTCTTTTCTGATAACACACTAAAGAGTAGTACTACTTTGTTAGCTTGCCTGTTAGTGCATTCTTTTCAGTAAAGAGAAAGGTACAACACATAAATAAGAAAAATCTAAGGAGTGGAATATAAAGGACACTTCTTGATCATAATTATCTTCAATAATTTGTATTTTTTTTAATTTAGATAAACATAAAATCAACAGAGAGATTCAGTGTTTCAGGTATCACTTTCTTTGAGTACTGCAAAAGATCAAAGAATGCAAAAAAAGAGATACCTATGGATTGAGACTTGACTTTTGGAAGCAAAAACAAGTGAGAAAACCTATAGATTTCTGTATAATACCACCAAAATAACCAATCTCTGAATTACAAATCAGCTTTATTCAACTAGTAAAAAGACATAAAATAAAGTAACTTCACACACACACACACATGATACAGAAAAAAACATGCATATTAGTAATACTAGAGAGATAGAGATATATACCGCAAGAACAATATTGCAAAAGTTGCAAGGGATATAGCAGAGTTGCTCAGAATTAGTAGAATCAATGCAGGTTGCCATGTTTATTTGAGGACTGTAGCTTAAGGGAAGAACAAAGAAAATGGTGAGAATTATATAAAGAAATGGGAAGAAGAAATAACCAAATATATATAGAGATCAAAAATAAGAGGAGACAGTCCTTTACTCCCTCTTGGAAGCACAAAGGTAAAAGCAAACACTAAAGAGAATAGGCTTTTATTCTCTCTCTAGTCTATTGGCCTTTTTTTTTTTTTTTTTTTTTTTGGTTATTTCGCGCTCGGTGACTCCATACACAAGACTCGAACCCTAAATCTCTAGTTAAGAAGCAAGGAATATATAATTACTACCAGCATAACCTTGTTGGTTAGTTTATTGCTTTCAAAATGTGCTATGCATGTGCACAAAGGTAGATAAAATAGGTGTATAAAAAAATACATACTCCCTATATTCCAGTTTATGTATCTTATTTCCTTTTTAGTTTGACAAAAAGAAATTCTCTTTTCTAAATGACAAAATGATTTGAGTTAAACTTCTCATATTACACTAAATAACTAGTATTTATAGCCAGAGGCATATCCAAGTTGAGGGATATGGGTTCACAGGAACCCATACTCCTCTTCATAAACCATGTATAACAATGTTATATTTCTTCAAATTACTTAAATATATGTGCCTGAACCCATGTTCAAAGACTCTTATGGTGCAATTATATATTATTGGGTGTATATCTACAAGTGAAATTGGCAGTTCAAATTCCACTCTAAACGGTCTTATTTTCGGTATGGAGTATAAATATATAAGTAAAAATTACTAAAATTTCAAAAAGAATATAATTTTGAACCTATAATTTCAACAATGTAGTGGGTTCATGGTAAGAACTAAAGTTAAACCCATCAAATATAAATTCTAAATCCACCTCTTCACAATAGTGCACCCATCCTCTTGAAATCCTGGATCCACCTCTGTCTATAGCCACATAAATATTGTGATATGTGTAAGACTATACAAGTTCAAAAATGTTATAGTCATAATACAAATGTTACGATATGCTTAAAACCATAAATTTTAAAAGTCTTCTTCCTTATATTGAGGAGAGAACGTTGTGTCGTAGAGAAGGATCATTTACAAAGAAACGCAAAGTGCGAAAGTAGCTGGGAGCTAAGATTCTGCTCGTGAGTGTAATGGCATAAGCCTACCCGACTATAATACCAACTCGTATGACGGAGAGAAAGCCTGCCATAGTGATTCAAGATGATTTTTCCCTATAAGAGTAGGCTTGATAAGAGCTAAAAAATGAAAGAAGATATAGGGTGTGTTTGATATAACGGAAAATATTTTTCGTGGAAAATGTTTTCCAAGAAAATATTTTCTTGGAAAACAAGTACTAATCTTATTCATTTTCCCGTGTTTGGTACGCAAATTAAGGAAAATGAGTTCTCAAGAGTATTCATAAATAATTTAGATATAATAAACATGAAGCCATAAACTTTCAAACCAACAACCTTCCGAATCCACAAATTTCATAAACTTTCGAAACCGCGGAATTTCGAACCCGTAAACTTTATAATTTCTAAACCCATAAACTTCCAAACACATAAAACTCCGTACTCATAACTTTGGAACTTGTAAAATTTGAACCTTTAAACCGATAAATAAAAAACTAAAACTGAAAAATATATTTAAAAATTTATTTTGGGGGGAGAGAGGGGGGAGGAGAGGGGCAGAAAAATGAAAAAAAAATAGAAATTTGAAATTACAAAAAGAAAAAGTAAAATAAAAAATTTGTGCCTGTAGGGGGGGGGGGTATATGGGGGGGAGTGGGTGGTGCAGAAAAACGAAAAAATAGAAATTTAAAATTGCAAAAAAAAAAAATAATGTAAAAAAAGAACTTTTTTGCGGGAGGGGGGGTGGGGTGGAGGGATAGTAGGGTGGGTGGTAACGGAAAAACTTAAATTTGAAAAAAAAAGTCTTTTTTGGAGAGAGGGGGTGGGGTGGGTTGGTGAGGGTGGGGAAGGTTGAGAAGAGTTTTGGAAAATGTTTTCCCTTTTCTGATAAGGAAAACATTTTCTCCAATTGAAGGAAAATGAGTTCATAAGGAAAATATTTTCCAAAATATTTAAGCCAACCAAATATGGAAAAATTAGAAAATATTTTCCGGAAAATATTTTTTTTCCTACCAAACACACCCATAATATTTTGGAAAATCACAAAAATTTCTTAACTAAGCAAACTAAAGTGTTGTTATGTAAATTATTGCTATCCTTTAATCCCTATAGTCCCAACATATTCTATATTATATATGATGATTCATTGTAAAAAGAATATAATTTTCTGTGAGCCTACAGTTGCAACTTATCTTCTTCTATTTTGATCCGTTGCCTTGTGTGTTAGTGATTCCCCTTAGTCGGCCGTAGGTATTTGTGGCTGTGGTCTGGGATGGTCGAGTGAGGTCATGTCCTCGGGGGGAACGGGGGGTGGGGCAGGAGGTAGGGCAGGGATTAGGGGGTGGGTGGGGAAGCAAGGGAGGTAAAGGGAACAAGGGTGTCTATAGGTTGAGAATTGGTCATCGAACGTAGTTACATTGACGAGTAAGTCTATAGAACTGGCAAAGATCCTCCAAAAGAGGAGGGTCAATAAAGCGTGTGTCCAGGAGACAAGGTGGGTAGGGTCGAGGGCAAAGGACGCGGGCGGATATAAGCTTTGGTACTCAGGAGTCCAAAGAGGTAAGAATGGAGTGGGTATCTTGGTGGATAGGGAACTTAGAGAGTCTGTGGTTGAGGTTAGACGAGTGAATGATAGATTAATGAGTATTAAGTTGGTGGTCAGAGAGTGCACCATAAACATCGTTAGCGCCTATGCGCCTCATGCGGGCCTAGATGAGGAGGTTAAACAGCGCTTTTGGGAGGGGTTAGATGAGATTGTGCGCCACATTTCGCCTACTGAGCAGCTATTCATAGGAGGGGATTTCAATGGTCATATTGGGTCGACCGTAGGTGGTTATGGGGAGGTGCATGGAGGCTTCGGTTTTGGGGAGAGGAATGGAGGAGGTACCTCACTTTTGGACTTCGCTAAGGCTTTTGGGTTGGTGATTGTGAACTCTAGCTTCCCGAAGAGAGAGGCGCATTTGGTTACTTTTCAAAATGCGGTGGCAAAGACTCAAATTGACTATCTCCTCCTCAGGAGGTGTGACAGAGGATTGTGCAAGGATTGCAAGGTGATCCCGGATGAGATACTCGGGACACGGCATAGGTTATTGGTGATGGACATTGGTATTATGTTAAAGAGGAGAAAAAGGTCTGCTTGAGGAAGACCGAGGATCAGGTGGGGAGCCTTAACTAAGGATAAAGCCCAAGAGTTGGAGGGGTGGTTGTCGGCTATGGCAGCTTGGAGGAGCAGTGGTAACGCAAGCACTATGTGGTCAGCGACATCTGAATGTATAAAGGAGGCTGCGAGAGAGGTGTTAGGGGTCTCGACGGGCATCTCTGGTGGGCACAAAGGAGACTGGTGGTGGAATGAAGTGGTCCAAGGTAAAGTGAAAGCGAAGAAGGCGGCGTACCTAAAGTTAGTGCGGAGCATAGGTGAGGAGGAAAGGCGAGCGTGCGTAGAAAGGTATAAGGTAGCTAGGAAGGAAGCTAAGCTGGAGGTCACGAAGGCTAAAACTACGGCTTATGGTCGTATGTATGAGGAACTAGGGAAAAAAGGCTGGGAGAAAAAGTTATTCTGGTTGGCCAAGCTGAGAGAGAGAAAGGCTTGGGATTTGGACCAAGTGAGATGCATCAAGGATGAAGATGGTAGAGTTTTGACGGAGGATGCGCAGATTAAGAGAAGATGGCAGACTTATTTTCATAAACTTCTGAATGAAGAAGGGGATCGGGATATTGTGCTAGACGAATGAAACATTCCGAGAGTCACCGTGACTCTGGGTACTGCAGGTGTATCAAGGTTGAGGAGGTTGTAGAAGCTATGCGTAAGATGAGTAGGGGTAGAGCGACCGGGCCAGACGAGATTCCGGTAGAATTTTGGAAGAGCGTGGGGAGAGCAGGTTTGGAGTGGTTGACTGGGTTGTTCAATATTATTTTTAAGGCGAGGAGGATGCCAGAGGAGTGGAGGTGGAGTACGGTAGTTCCATTGTATAAGAACAAAGGTGATATCCAGAGTTGTAACAACTATAGGGGTATCAAATTACTGAGCCATACCATGAAAGTGTGGGAGAGGGTGGTTGAAGCAAGGGTGAGGAAGGCAGTGTCTATACCGACAACCAGTTCGGATTCATGCTGGGTCGTTCGACTACAGAAGCTATACACCTTGTTCGGAGGTTGGTGGAAATGTATAGAGAGAGGAAGAAGGATCTGTACATGGTGTTTATTGACCTGGAGAAAGCATATGACAAGGTTCCTAGAGAAGTTCTCTGGAGATACTTGGAGGCAAAAGGTGTGTCGGCCCCGTACATTATGGCGATCAAGGACATGTATGATGGGTCTAAGACTTAGGTTAGGACAGTAGGAGGAGACTCTGAACATTTTCCGGTTGTAATGGGGTTCAACAAGGTTCTTCACTCAGTCCGTTCTTATTCGCCTTGGTGATGGACACGTTAACGCACCATATTCAAGGGGAGGTGACATGGTGCATGCTATTCGCCGATGACATGGTTCTGATTGATGAGTCGCGAGCCGGTCTTAACGAGAGGCTAGAGGTTTGGAGACAAGCTCTTGAGTCTAAGGGTTTCAAGCTGAGTAGGACGAAGACGAAATACCTGAAATGTAAGTTCAGCGCTGAGCCGGGGAAGTGGGCGTGGACGTGAGGCTTGAATCACAGGTCATGCCAAGTAGAGGAAGCTTCAAGTACCATGGGTCGATTATCCAAGGGGGAGGGGAGATCGACGAGGATGTCACACATCGTATTGGGGTAGAATGGATGAAGTGGAGGTTAGCATCTGGAGTCTTGTGTGACAAGAGAGTGCCACCGATTCACAAAGGTAAGTTCTATAAAGCGGTGGTTAGACCGACAATGATGTATGGGGCTGAGTGTTGGCCTGTTAAGAACTCACATACCCAGAAGATGGGAGTAGCAGAAATGAGGATGCTGAGGTGGATGTGCGAGCACACTAGGATGGATAAGATTAGGAATGATGATATTCGAGAGAAGGTGCAAGTGGCTCCCATTGAGGACAAGATGCGGGAAGCGAGGCTCAGATGGTTCGGTCATGTTCAGAGGAGAAGTCCAGATGCTCCGGTAAGGAAGTGCGAGCGGCTAGATGTGGAGGGGAAGAGAAGAGGTAGAGGGCGGCCTAAGAAGTATTGGGGAGAGGTTATCAGACATGATATGGCAAGGCTTCAAATTTCCGAGGACATGACACTTGATAGGAAGTTGTGGAGGCCGAGTATTAAGGTTGTAGGTTAGGAGGTAGTTGAGTCTTGCCTTACTTATACCTTTGCAAGACTAGTCTGGTAGGGTTTTACCTAAGATAGCTAGTGTCATTGTTGTGTCTTACTATTTCAATGAATGGCGTATTTAATAGCTATCGCTTTACTTTGCATCTTTCTTCTGGATTCATGTTCATATTTTTTCTTATTATTTCTGTGGTGATACTAATATTCTCTGCTTTTGTCCTTTTGTTCTATTGAGCCGAAGGTCTCTCGGAAACAGCCTCTCTACCCCTTCGGGGTAGGGGTAAGGTCTGTGTACACACTACCCTCCCCAGATCCCATTAGTGAGATTTTACTGGGTGTTATTGTTGTTGTTGTTGTAATTCTCCTATCCAAACAGAAAAATTAAAATAAAATTAGGTTAGGTCAATTCAATAGTGCCCACGGCAATAGAAAATTGATGAATAGGAAAAAGCAAAAAGTTACTGCAAAATACTGCTAGCTGTTATAGAGGATATCAATCCCATATAATATCCGGTTCATAAAAACCGGGTTTTGAGGAATTAATGTGGGCTTCTTTTTCAGAAGTGTCAGATATTGGCCAAACAAGGTTTAGGGTTTTGTTGGGAATTAACTTTGGGAGGATGAAGAAGAGAAGGTTTTGGCTGTATTATGCTACCAATCCACAAGAGAATAAGTCAAAAAGAAGAAAACTCTTTTTTCAATTTAACTTATATACACCGTAATAAGATTAAAAAAAATTCACAAAACATTAAATATCACACTTAGAATTTGAACCTATAACCTAAAATGTTTCTTGAACTCCTTTACCACTTTACTAGAATTTTTTACTTTATTTCGAGAAAATTGATCAACAAATTAAAAGATTTGTTCTTGCTGCCCACTATTATTTTTTACTGAAGTGGATGCGATTGAACCCCTTTTTTCGGCTTAGTTTCTCTCTCGCGCGCGCACATATATACATATATATATATATATATATATATATATATATATATATATATATATATATATATATATATATATATATATCTTGATTAAATAAATATATTTTTGTATATTTATGTATTATATATAAAAAATATATATATTTTATATACTTTTCGGCTAGCGAATACAATTAGTTTTAGTCGACCGGCCAGCTATATTTTGCCCTATTTTCTTTGTGAGGGCCAGGGGTTGTAGGGGGTAGGGGGGCTTACCATGTTTGTTTGTTTGTTGCCATTATAATTGTTTGTGTTGATGAAGAAAAGAGAGTGGTGTGGCTATGGCCTTTCCCTTTCAATCTCTGCGACACCACAGCGGACGAGGGGGGCGCAATGTCTCTGTGATTTTAATTTTTAATTTTTTTTAATTCTTTCTTCTTTTTTTATGCATTTGTTCTTTTTACAATTTAAGTTTTATGCATTTTATACTTACACAATCAAATCATATATATAAAAGATAACTGCATGTAACTTTACATTGTCACTCACTTCCATTACTTATTATATTACTGTTGTTATTGCTTGTTGCTTTATTTTTATCGTTTCTTATATAAGCTGAGGGTCTATCGGAAACAACCTCTCTGCCTTTATAGGATACAGGTAAAGTTGCGTACATACTATCCTCTCCAGACCCCACGTATGGAATTAAGCTAAGTGTGTTATTGTTGTTGTTTCATGTAACTTTGTATAATAAGCATGGATTTAAGTTAAAAGAATTTACAGTAATGAGTTTAATTGGTTATAATAAGTTGTTGTTCTATTTTCTAAATTAATATTTCAACTTGATTGTCTAAAATATCTCTTATATAAACTCAATAAGCAATAATGGGTAACTTCAGATATTTGATAAACAACATTTGTTAAATTACAATGATAGTATAAAGATTCTATATAATTTAAATCTAAATTAATGTACAATTAATATATGACTGTAAAAACTTATATGTACAAGCCTACCAACAAAAAGTACTACTATTACCTCTACCATAGAGATAGTAACAGATTTTGATTGTGCTTTATTCCTAAAGTATATCTTTGTTTTCTTTTTTCCTCTTTTTGGTGATACCTTTTCATTCTTAACGAGTCTTGTATTAATGGCTGCAGACTCATACCAAGAAAAATGTTTTCTCTAATTTACCATATTATTTGGTATAAAAATTTGGTGCGAATTAATATTTATCTTATTCGTAAAATGTTTTAGTTGACTCATTCTCCTGGGATTTCAACCCTCATTAGTGACCCAATCCGAATTTAACTTGCATGAAAATATGAGACTAGTTAGATATTGACTCGTTTTTGCTTAACTTATTTTTACCTGCTCAAATTTAAATCCAAAATGTCCTGTTATCATCTTTAATGAGAATTAATTTGTCCTTAATTTGAGATTTTTAAAAATTGGATAATTGATAGAGAATGTTGGAGGGGCTTGAACCTCAACCTCAGCCTTGGCATGTCGGGAATAAAGGGCGACATACTAGACGTAACCACTGTGTCGCATTGTTTTTCGATCGATATGCAGTTGAGAAGGCCAATCACGAACACTATCCTAGAAAGACGAAAAAAATACAAGGTTTCACAAACAGAATTAGCATAAGAAGAGCTTATATACGAGATATAAATTTGAATTAATCGGAACAAAAGGCTAAATGATTAAAATAAAAAGAGAAGAGGGGCCAAATATACAGAGATATAGTTTTGTCGGGAAAGCCAAAGTGGTGAATGTGGTGGATGTACCTTGTTAGAGTTGAGTCGTTTTCGATGTCTCAAACGCAATAAATAGCCCTTAAAGTCCAGACATATCACACACTCTCATATTTGCTTCTTTCACCATCATTTGCTATTTCTTTTTCACCATTAATAATGCCCATTTTTTCAAACTCTTTTTCCTCATTTGATATTCGGTACTTGTATAGGAGTTCCGACTAATCTGA